GCATTGTGGTATAAGATGAAGTTCCTTCTAAACAAAAAAAAATCCCTGCTCTCTTGATAGCTCAGTCATGCTGAGATATGTCCACACAAATCAAGCATCTTGCAATACATCACTCAGATAGTCATTCATAATTAGATATTGAAAGTCACTAGGCTGCTCAACCATGGAGACCAGCAGAGCGGAGCCTGGCACTGTGCTTCCAAATATCCACACATGTACATTCCTGAAGGGATCACTAGATAGAGCAGCTGACAACTGAAGAATGGTGCATTGCACAATGCTGGAGGAGGGAAATTAAAAGGCTTTCTTTCAATATGTTATGATCACAAAAATGAGACATATGGAAGGAGAGGGGAGATTAGAATTTCATTTTATACCATTATGGCTTATTCTGACAAGTACAGCACAATGTCAAATACAAATTAACATGACTAAACACATTCCACCCACATATCTTAAGTACAACTCACTTAAAACTTAAGAAGAATAAATCTGCATTTAAACTTACTGAAACTCAAACTAATTTAATGCTTGAATCCCTTCATTAAAATTAGGATCTCATACATTTAACTTTTGTAGTTTTATTGACTTATCCTCCCACTTTAAAACACAATTGTTGTTCCAAAAACATTCTGTAAAGCCCATTGATACATTTTGGTATAAGGTAGACACTAATAAGGAACATAATATTCAAATATTCTAAACTCATTTGCTATGGATTTTTGAACTGAATGTCAGATGTCATTGTCAATCTACAGCCTCTCACTACAAATGGATCCTGTTAATAAAGATCATTCAACAGCTATGCAAACAACTTGATTTAGCTGCATTTATGTCGTCCTTTTACCATAGTTGAATATTTAGGAAAATCTTCACAGAAATTTTGCCAGACAAAACTTGGCAATTAACCAAAGGATCTAAGAAGAAGACAGGTGATCAAAAAGGAAGGTTTTAATGAACTGTCTCAAAAGTGGTGGGAGGAGGAGTTGTATGGGTAGGAATCCTAGAATGTGGGCAAGTAGTTTTGGAATAAATTACAAACCCCAGTGATAAAATGAAATATTTCACTAATGTTGGTGAAATGGAAGCATTGACTCACTCTTGTGAAATATCCAAAACATTTTTCTACACCATGACAACATAAGCAATAGATGAACATACAGACAACATAGGAACAAGCCATATTACTCCTCAAACCTATCTGTCATGCAACAAAATCATGGCTGATCTTCCTGCAGAATTTTACTTTCCCTGTGATTTCTATCCCTTGATTCCTCAAGTTTACAAAATTTTGCTTCCAATTATGAACTGAAATCATGTGAGAAGGATTCTTCATAATATAACATTTCATCAATTTTTATTTGATATTGACATAAATATGTCAGAGACTTTCCCAAATGTCCATCCTGCCATGTTTTCTTTGTTATGACTTTGCATCGCCATACAGCTTAACATTTCATTCAGCAACCAGGTGACTAGATCATAGATCTTACCATCTGGAACTAGCCCCTGGAACAGTACAGCAGCTGATTTGTTGCAGCAGATGACTTGATGGCAGCTGATATCCACTCAAGTATTGCCAATGGCACCAACCTCTCTCACCCACATTTTTTTTTAAATTTAAAATTGCAGATCAACGATGAACTCAAACATAGAACAAGAAAATTCATTCAGTTAACTGTGGCCACTCAGTCTGAATAATAGCATTAAATTCATAATTGATGGAATTCTCACAAGATATTTAATTTTGTGTGAAGGCTGAAGGTGGAAACTGAAATATTTCAGACAGTAATGTTTGGAGGAGGACACTTCCAGATGTAATTATGAGGTGCAATTTTCAGTGCTGATGGGTAGCATCCATCACAGAAAATCTGACTAGTTAGCTGATTGACCAAAAAATTAGATCACGTCACATTCGCAAAACCTGAAAACGTAAGATACCATGTTATGCACATCCATAAAGGTATAAAGTGAGCTCTGATCTTTTCTGTCTTGCTCACTTTGTACCAATGATTCTCCATAGCAATTCCTGACTAAGCAGGTGCACACTGAGGCAATCCCCCATTGTCACAGTAGTCTTGATGAGATCAGAAACAGCCTAGAGGGAGAATCATGTTCATCAGTCTGAGTCCAAATGGTCCATATGGTAGAATATTGGTAGATTAATACCTTGCACCACTTGTCTGCCACTATGTTTCAGATACTTTTTAACAAATATTTTCTAATCAGCCTGTTCAGAGATGTTATTACACACGTCTCATACAGGAGGGACTTGAACTCAGGTCTCCTGGCTATGTTTTTCCCCCTCTGGTTAGTTTGTTAATCTGCAAATAAATATATAAAGTGAATTATGAAATGATCTGGACACATTACATCAAATGACTGGCAGATGAATGATCTCACTGATTCCACAGGCTTCCTGTGCTTATCACCAGGCTCCAGCAAGAGTCTGATTGTCTAAAAGCATGAACAAAATCCTCAGATACATTCAGTCCATGATGCAGCACTCACTGCTGGCTTTGATTTTCATTTTCTCCATCCCTAATTATAGCTTCACTTTGACATCCATCCTCACAGTACCTCTTTGTGATATCCATTTAGTCCAAATGGTACCATCATTTAGAAAGTCTATTCCAGAACAGGGATCCTGATATATTCACTCTAATTTGCAACATTGCCTGTCTTTGCCAGACGATTCGTCTATAACCAGTATAGGAGCCATTTGTCAAAAATATACTTTATTTAAAGCTGCTAACAATTGCGACGCATCTCAACCAACTGGAGCTGGTTTAACATAGCTGCAATGTTGGTTTGTGCGTCGCTCTCCCATCCCCACTCCCTCAATAGAAAATGATCACTGAAATCGCCAGTGCTTTAAGGCGACACCTTTTAACATGCGTTTAGTCGCCTGCACCCACTAAATAAGCGCTGTGAACTTCGCCGTCTATTTGCGAAAACCGGACTTGCAACATATTGAGGGTCTGTGGCAGCCCGGGTGGTGACGTGACGAGCAATGAAAGACAGCGGGACAGAGATATAAGTCAAACTGTCAAACTTTGATAACCATTGGGAATGTCGACAAAACCCCGTATTGACACAAACCAATTTCCAGTAGGTGAGATTGTCGCTCACCACTCACCAACGCCCGAAATGTGTCGCCATGAGACTCCTAATGTATTCTCAATTCGCTATTGTTCTATAGATGCCATATAACAACTTGTCTTATCTTGACAAGAAACATGACAAGAAACAGCACCGAGTATATAAGGTATAACAACGAAGCTGTGTGTTTTTTTAAACAAAAAACTGTTGGTGGCCATTCACAATTGTCATCCTTCTCAAATGATTCCAAAACAAACCGCGTTGTCATTGCTTACCAAAACATACTAAGGAAGAAAACAAAATGACTTTAAGATACGCGAAAGAAACAGTTCTACATATGAAACTCCACCCTTGTCCCTTAACCACACAGAACTGTCAATAGTTGACATCTGGGATGCACTTTGATTGAAACATACTAAGGCCAGATTTAAATAGTTGCATGTATTACAAGCACAATCTACATCCAGTCACCAAAAAAAATTGACAACAACTCTTAGCATCGTCTCTGCTATCAAACCATCGCTTGCTCTCAACCTGAAACACCTTCTGTAGTTCCGTTTCGCAGACCGCCTCCTCCACCTCCCCGTTATACGTGACCCACCCCATCTCCCGTTTCTGCTTCTCTCAAAAAAAAGCTTCGTCGCATTATTAATGATTCTCAATCTTGAATCATGAAATTAATCCCCCCTCTAAATGGATTTCCTATTGGGGGCGCGGGTTTTGGGGAGATTTTTGTCTTAGGTTTGCAAAATCTGCAGTACTTCCTTTTTTATTGTGGTACAGATTAATTTTGTTCAGTTTGTTCCTCCCGTCATGCACGAACAGGACTATGGTGCCAGTCAAGGAACACCAGGCGAGCGCTCATAGAGATGTTAAAAAGGGGACATGTTATGAAGTGTGAAGGGCTTAAAACCAGCCTTGCAAGAAAGTTGTAGCGTGCAACAGAGCTGTATCCTTGAACTGTTGAAATGGGCTTTTTTTTGGAGGGGGGTAGGGGTAAGAAGCGGAAGATTGTTCCACATTTATACAGACTTGCTGGTCTGCACGTTACCCCCTTGGTAGGTACTGACTGCGAACAAGCAACATCTAGAAATCCGGCTTTCAAATTTCGAAAGATGCACGGGAATTTCTGAGCTTTACAAGAGCAATTTTTTTTGTAGTATTCCAGAAACCTCCCGCGGATTTTTTGTTTGGTTGTAATCCCAATTCCAAAGGGAAATTATGAGACAGGATTTCATTTCGAAATTTTAAAGACCCAGTTGCTTTCAAAAGTGACAACGCATTATCTTCACACCTCTGCCTCACTCGCCCCCACCACCACAAAAAAAGTCAAGATGTTGTCGATTTCATTGTTACAAAGAAAAATAAAATCAACAGGTACGTGGAAACAGTTGGAAAGTTGGATCTTGAAAGTCATCAGAAAGCTGTCTCCAGTGAAATATCATCTCAGATTTTAAAACAGTCATAGTAAAAATCTGTTAGTGAGGATGTAGTGAGGAAGCAGAGAAAGGTTTAGTTTGGTGATTGGAAATCGCCTCAGCAATTTGCAGCAATCCGAAGACAGAGGCTAAGATGTGGTTCTCCATCACCCAGAACCTCACTCACTAATCTTCCTCATTGTAGGTTTCCCCAGCTGATCGCTTGTCAATCCCCAAATCAATTTCTTAACCTTCAAACTCATTGACCTGTATCACGTATCGCACTTCCCCACCGTACTCGCGCACACACACAAAAAAAGAAATCACACACACTCACATACACAGGGTAATCCATAAATGTCTCGTTTACAGGCAACATAAACTTAACTCGGCAATCGGTTTTGAGGGAACAGCACGAAGAGATTTCGAGCTGGAACCGAAATTGAAGCGAAGGTAGGGTCCTCAAGGGAAGTCACTTACCGCGGGCATCCGTCTCGCCGTTCCCCTTCGGGCTCTTCATGCAATGCTCCAAGTACACGCCGTCCTTCAGACAAATGTCCTCCTTCTTGTTTAAGCCCAGCATCTCAGTGGCCTGTCCCAGGCTTTCGCCCCTGGAGCAAGAGCAAGGGGTCTGCATGATGCCACAGGGACGGGAACTGGTGCTGAGGGCCAGGCAAGTCTCCAGCCACTTGCAGAGCATCTGACAAGCTCCTTTGCTGGGATTCCTGTTACCCACCACCAGATACTCAGCCGAGAACTCCTTGTCTTTGAGCCGGGAGCCCCTGGTCCGGGGCTGGGCAATTTGCTTCATCTGTAGGTACTGTTTGGCGGATTGCAGGAAGGCGTAGCGGGCTGAGGGGTCGCACAGTTTCAACACTTCGTCAAAGCTCTCCATGCCCAAGTAGGTGCGGGTACTGGTCAGGAAGGAGTCGAACTGGTAAGTGCGGATCTGGTGGCGGTCGCAAACGTTGCTGGTCTTGGCCACCTTCATGTACAGCGTGTACCTCCGAGGGTCCGGGTTCTGAAAAATCCAGGAACACACCGAGGAGTTGGAAGCGAAGACCATCGACGAGGAAAAGTAGCCGAAGAGTTTGCCCTGGACCAGGGTGGTACACGGACTCTGCCCCAGGTCCAAGCCGCTCACGGTCCACAACGCGGCGGCGAGTATTACAGTCCCCACGGGTTCAGGGAACCTCATCCTAGGTCAGTTAGCCCAAGAAACGCCGAGGAAATAGCAGCAGCAGCCCAGACGCTGGACATAACAGGATCGCCTTTTAGAGAGACAGACCTGGAGATGATTTCATTGCAATCTTTGTAGGTTTGTCCAAGCTCTCCCCCTTGTGGTAAATTCCTGGGATTTTTTTGTGTTAAAATAAAAAGCGAAGAATAACCCTCTAAGTCCCGAAGTGATAATTGTTCCTGCCCTCCAACGCTGCTCGACACTGTTTCTTATTCAATGCATTCAGAATTGTATTTTCTGTGCTGGCTGAATACCAGTGGGTCACACAGTTGTCAACGCTGAATCTGAAAAATTAAAAAAAAACAAGGTATCACTTTCTTTTAATATCCACAAGTACATTAACAATCTCTTATTAACATTTACTCACCCCTCTACTCCCCCCCCCCCCCCCCACTTTACGTTGATTCATTCTCTCTATTCCCCGTAACTCTTCCAACCAACGAGACCCAAGAGGTTTTGAATTTATGATTAATTTTTAATTATTTAAAGGCGCAATTCGTCTTCCATTTAGCAGTGGCAACGCGAAAATACGCAGTCACGAAATAAACTTATTTTTACACTGGTGTGTTCTTCTGTTAAAAAAGGACTCGTCTGCTTCATTTTTTTTTGTTAAATTGCATCAGGAATTCCACATCTTCACACAAACTCAAACTATTTAGGTAATTAACGCTAATTAAAGTGCAGCTTTTCTCTCCTGGTTATCCGATAAACACTCAAATCTAATTGTCATTACTGTGATTTTTTTTCCTCTTTTTTTTCTCACTGTCACACACGCACATTGCAGATTTGAACCATTCCAAATAACGCATTGAAGACCTGCGCACAGCAATAAACTATGAGCTCTTCCTTATCAACGCCGACTAACTTCGCCAACCAAGGTCTGGAGAAGAACAATTCCTCATTCACATTTGCAAAGTAACCAGATGAGCAAACCTGCATTTTGCAACCGACTGGTCACTTCACAACTGTTTGAATCAACCATTTTCCAAATCGAGACACGCCAAGAGACAAATGGCCAATTTTGAATATTGCCTGTGTGTACTCGACAATGCTTTAATCTGAATCGTACCTTCCTGCCATTTACGCGTTGATTTAATAACATTCTACATTTGAAATAAAAACTGAATTGTCGTGTGGATTAATTGCTATGGAGAGATTTTGTGTTTAAATGGGGTATGTTCAGCTGTTGAAGTGTTTAGCCCGTTTTAACGGGAGTACAATAACAATCAGGTTAGCAATAGTAAGGTGGTGTAGGAATCAACATCCCAGACGCTGAATCCCAGTTAGTTTTCCCTCGGAAAGAAACAGGCTGTTTGGATCCTCTTTACGCATTGAGCAGCTCAGTGCAATCTGTGATACTGTCCGCCAATCTGGCGTTGTACCTACCTTGGGCTGTGGTATCAACAGAAGCCTTAGCTTTCTCTGCCTGGCTTTCGCTGTCCCACTGATTTAAGGCGAGAGCCATGCAGTGAGGAAACGTGAGCTCAGCAGAACCTTCCTCGATTAATGGTAACACATTTGCCAAGACTAGGCGCAAGACTGATGGGGAAGAATAGGCGGTGGGACAGGTATCCAAACCACCGGCTCTGGGAGAGAGAAAGAGAGAGGGGAGAGGCTGGTGGATTCTCGCTATTTTAACTTGCTCATCACAATGGGCGCACACTGCTTCCCCCTTATGGCCTCTCCCTTCAGGGGATTGGAAGCGACTGATCTGTTGGACGCTGTCGCCTCCCTGGCCACCGATAGATAATAACGCGACACCTTTCCAGTTAATGTCTGTGCGAGGAGCGCGGGCAGAGAGGCTGATAGCAGACCGGGAGAGCCACTTACCTCGATGGGAACTGTCCACTCCCGAGCTGGATCGGTGGCTCTGAGCCGAAATGAGAAAGGGAAACGGGGCGTGGGGAGTGGGGGTGGAGAACTGGCGGGGTGAGAAAGCTCACAGTGTGGAAGGAGATCGCACTCTCTATGACTCACAATACAACCACATCTTGTTGGGGGAAAAAAAAAGTTACTGTTTTCGAACAAAGCCATCTGTGCCAGCTGAAACCGGGAGAAGAGGCAGAGGGAAAGTGGCAGTATTGTACCGTGGGCGCATTATTAAAGGTGCACAGCGCGGTTCCCGTCCCCTTTAGCTCATTGCTGTGGGAGGCAGGTCTGGGCGCTGGGCGTTCATCCCAACATTAAGTGTAAGCAGATTCTGGTCCAGAATGGCTCTGGTGATGTAAACAGACGCTGATTGCTGCGCTGTTACCCTGTCTACACTTGCTGAAGTGGGAAGTGGGGGTCTGTGTTTTCTTTTCTCTCCACCCACCCATCCCCCTCCCTGCAGACAGAGCCCGCTGTCTTCCCCTTCCCTCGTCCACTGCAATGGGGCTTGCGCGGACAGTTAATAAAAAGGGGGTGGGGAGAGGGGCATCTGTTCCCGATCGGAGCTCACAGACCTCGCTGAGACACCCTAGAGGGCTATTGACAACCCCTTCCCCGGGGTGAAGGGGTTACATAGCGTTGGAGCGATCCTAACGAACAGTGTGTGCTAATGCGTGGTTGATGAACCCCATCATTAGGAACCAGGGCTCCACTGGGAAGCAGTATCTGGGGATCCCCTTCCGCCTGATACATCACACCTCATGTCTAACAGGTTTACACTTTCTACTCTTTCTCCCCCACAGGGTCTTTTTTTTGTTTCTTTTTGCGACATTAATTGATAACCAACGGGTTCGGATATATTAAACATCCTTTCTTCCGAGTTTAAATTCCAAAACCAAACAAAATAAAAACAGAGCGGCTGGGATTTGCTCCTGAACATACGCGGTTAACCCTGTCACTGCTGAAGCGTCCTGACTGACTAAGTGTAGCGTATAGCCTGAGGTTTCCTCTCGGTATGGCCAGCCCTGGTGGTTTGGTCGTGAGACAGGTTAGTTTAATCGCTGGATTACAGCCACACACTACATGTGTACAGATGGGTCAAACTGGCCTGGCTAACAGAGTGTCATAGAGAATCTTACAGCACAGAAGAGACCCTTTGGGTCTGCGCCGACATTTCCACATTAATCCCACTTCAATAGGTGTGCTCACAGAGTCATAGAGCTGTACAGCACAGAAACAGACCCTTCGGTCCAACCAGTCCATACAGACAAGATATCCTAAATTAATCTAGTCCCATCTGCCAGCATTTGGTTCATTATCCTCTGAACTCTTCCTGTCCATGTTCCCAACCGGGTGCCTTTTAAATGTGATTATACTAGTCTCTATTTGATTTTTTTTATTTATAAAACCCATTACACACGCAGGTTCCTCCCCATTAGTAAAGGATTAGTCTTCCACAACAGCTACGTGGCAACCAAATGCGTGCTTCCGATATTTCCCAGCGAGGGCTGCATTGATCCTGCACCTTCTCCGCATCACCCACTGCTACCGCCTTCACTCACCGAGCCATACTGAGTGAAGCCCCCTGCACCCTGAAGACCAGCCTGCTCAGCCCTGCCTTCCCCCCACCCCACCCCACCCCATCCCAAGCCGGACTCTCTGCCTGGCGCTATCCGCCGACAGTGCGCTGTTGATGCTCATTCTGTCCGGGCTGCCCCCACTGACCAATGCGAAGGAGGAGACCTGGTGAAATTTCGCCCATATCCCGAGAGTTTCCTGACGAGCTGCGCTGATTTTTTTGTTAATTTAACGAACGTGTGCCCACTAATTCCCGATATAAACGTGCTTCCATTCTATGCACCGTCTCGCAGCTTTTTATTTCACTCCAGTCAGTGCTCTCCCTCTCTGCTGTGTGAAGTGTTTTCACATTGGATGGAGACAGAAAAAAAAAACACACACAAACAACTTGCAGGCACCAGGCTTGCGATGCAGCATCATCCTTACCTTAAGTTTCTAAGTAAACATTTGCACTTTCCCTCAAACTTCCGGTTCAATTACCAAAACAAAAACGTCCAGTTTTAAAAGGTTAATAGCAAAGCAGAAACGACCACAACTAGCGTCTGGGATTATGTATAACACATACAGGCACTACGCCGGCAGAAGTGAAGGGAAGATTATTTTTTTCTCTGGGGAGAAGCAAAATGAAAACGACGAAAACAATCACTGGCTCTCAGACGGGAGTCCTCTGGTTAATCCGAGCGAGAGAGACAATTGTCAAGTCCAGAAGCAGGCAATTTACATCCAAATGGGAAAAGCTCCTTCCTGCTCTCCCGAGTGTAGAGGCACTACCACTTGGAGCATCCTTGTGGTAAAGTGATGAGATGTGGGGGTGGGGGGGGTGGTGGAGGCAGGGAGTGAGTGGGGAGGTGACAGTGGGGGTGATGTTGACAATGATCTGACAAGGCGCCCAGCTCTCCCCTTCGCATTTCCCACCTACTGACAGCCAGGACGCTGGAACGGGGAGCGCATTCGTTACGTCAAGTTCTCTCCTGCTTTTCTGATCATAACGTTGGAGGAGGTGAGCTCTCACCAAGAGACAGACAGAGAGAGAGAGAGAGAACCCAGAGGATTCAAGCAATCAGAGGATCTGAAGCACCCAGATCCAAGGAGGCTCCTGCCTACACACACACACACACATACACCACTCCAAACCTCTGCTGCATTATCCTCACACTGCAATCCCCTTCCCTCTGTCGGTGCAATTCTCTGAAGGATCCGTTTGCCTGGGTCAATCCCCCGTTAGCGCCTGAGTGCGAATTTTATTTTTTTTTTGTTTGTCGACATGTATTTCTATCCTTTTTGTTGCGCTGCAGCATGCGGACGTCGAATGGAAATCCCCGGAGTTAAAAGGACTGGACTGGACGCGAAACAGAAAGCGACAATAAGAGGGGGCAATTTCCAGTCTCACTCTAGCGCAGGACGGAGACGCGGTCCTCTTCTTGTAGCACCTCTTTTGCTTCGGAGTTGGGGTACGATGCAAATTGGATGCCGAAATATTTTGGTAGTTGATCTCAATCACAGGTCCTATT